TATTTTGATGTATGCCCATCAGTCTTTTTTGCTATGTATATTTGTTACATAATTTTATTACAATGCAATTTTGCATTTTCTTCATGTAATTTTATGTCTGAAGCAACTATTTGGTGTCCTTGCTTCATCCCAGGTACTAACACAAAGATTCTCTTCCTTATCAAGTAAAGCTACCAGGAGACTGGTATTTACCAGTTCTTCTCTCTTGAGGGAAACATACTAGTTGGTTAGATCTTAGTCCAGCTGTATGCTGGTTGCATTTCTTTTAGTTCCTTAAAAACAGACGACATCATTGTCCAGAAGACCTACTTGCCTCTCCTTCGATAATGTGATAGTTCTTTCACCTTTGGGAAATCTGAAAAAAAAAAAAAGTATGTTCTCACCTTCCTATATCATCAATTGCCTGCTTACTGCGCTCATTATCCTGCACTTCCTAAAAACTGCTTTGCAACTAAAGTTATCACTCACTTCAGTATTAATCTAGAATCATGCCAGGGATACATGGTTTCCAGTGAGGATGACAAATCAGGTGTCCATTTCCATTTCACATCAATTGGCAGTGGTTGGATAGGAACGTGCAGTACATTTCATCTTAGTAGGGAAGTGCCATGATTATTTAGCAATGTCTGCCTCAGAGGGTGGGGAAGAGGTTATAGCACCCAGGCCTAATGTTTGCCTAAATCAGAGAAAGATTTATCTAAAATCTACTCTATGCCATATACTCTGCCTCCACCATGTGATATATTCCTTGTAGCACCGCTAGGAAACAGATACCATTTTCCCATGTGGGCAATGGGAAGACAGGAGTGCAAAAGTGAGGTGTTCACCTGAAACCAGAAATCAGGGAAATAAAATTACCTCAGAGGGTGAGGCTGTGAAATCAACACAAAGTGAAATGCGGGGAAGGAACTTAAAACTTTCTGCTAAAGAAACTTGTCAGATTGGCTCCCAGGAGAGCAGTATGGTTGTTTGCCAATAACCATATCTAATGGTGAAACGTATTTTAAAGAAAGATTGCCAATCAGAAGAGGATTTGATTAATAATGGAAGCTTAACTCAGTGGGTGCCATTGAGTCAAATATAGGCTGTACATTCCCAAGTAGGACCATTCAGTTAGTTATATTCAGCAAACATTTATTGAATGTCTCCTGTGGGCCGTGCATCATACCGGTTGCTGGACACGCAAAGATAACTAAGATACAGTACTTGCCCTCAAGAAGCTCACAGTTGATTGGAGGTAATGGACACAAAAACAGGTAATTAAAACAAGTGCACAAGGTTAGAGATTTGCTTGTGTATTTGAAAGTCTGGAGGAAAAGCATGCACCCCATCTGGGAGGAAATGGCGAGGTTTCCTAGAGGAGGGGATATTTGAGATGAGTCTTAAGACAGCTTCTCAAACTACCCATAGTCAAGGGCTCATTTTTTTCCCTCTTTTTAATTTCCAATTTGCTAGGTAGATACAATAAAAATGGATGACTAGACCAGTAAAATTAAAAAGTACAAGCCCAATTTTGTTATTAGAGTACACTGATATATAATTACTCTAGCATATTACTATAAAAGTTTCTAAATGTTTACTTTTAACTTCCAGCCTTACCTCATTTCACTGGCTAAAAAACGCAACAAAACAGTTCAGAGCCTGGCACAGATCCCTAGACCACACTTTGAGTGGCCTCATATCGAAGGATAAGTAGGCATCAGCCACCAGCTGGGGAGGGAAGCGGGCGGTGGGGAGCATAGCCTAAGCAGGGACAGGGCTACAAGGCTTCCAGAGTTCAGGGTGGGGTAGGGGGTGACATGGAAGCACTGGGTAAATTCTCTGGGCCACTCAAGGGACTCAAGTGACTCTTCCTTACCCCTGTCCCGTGCGGGCTCTGCTTGCAAACCCCCTCCAGCCATGCTCCTTTGGTCTCTTTCTTTCTCTCCTTCAAGCTGTGCATTCTTCTCATCTCCTTCCAAACCTGGAACATCGACTTTTCTGGGACCAGGAGACAAAAAGAAAGAGGGGGTAGGCGTGATCAGGGGAATTGCTCCATTTTCCTTCTTCTTGGTCTGGTCTGAGAACACTTCAGATTCTTACTCTTAACATTCCCAAGCTTACAAAGCACATAGGATTTTATGTAGAAATGGAACTGATGAATTTGAATCTGTTAAATTCAAATTCAAGAGTTAAAGGAGTCAAGGGTCAGTCTCACATTTTAATTTTCTGAACCTAAGACCTGGAAAGGGAATGGAATGTTTTTAAAAGGTAAATGAACTTAAAAAAAAAAAAGGGGTAACTTTGTAACGTCTAGTTTTTTTCATTGCCCCAGCATCAATCATGCTCATTATGAAATTTTGTCATAGCCTCAATTAGAGTAATTTCTAACTCAGAACTTTAGAATTGGCTTCAGTGAAGCTTCTGCGTGTGGTTTGGATGAACTGACTTTCCTAGTTTCAGAAGGCTGTTTATTTGAATGATACACTGAATATGACTGGCATTAAACTCGGTTATAAACAAAGCAAATGATGCTTGTGTTGAACTATCCAGGGACTCAAAGCAACAAACGGATGGGCCAAAGAAATCATGAGGGAAAATCTACAGATTCAACTCTGTTTTTTTTTTTCATTTTAAATTTTTTTTATTATGTTCAGTTAGCCACTGTATAGTACATCATTAGTTTTTGATGTCGTGTTCAACGACTCATTAGTTGCATATAACACCCAGTGCTCATCACATCACGTGCCCTCCTCAATACCCATCACCCTGTTACTCTGTTTTTAAAATGAAAACTTTCTATTATATTAAAAACATCAAAGCCAAAATGAAACAGAAAACCAACAGGAAAAAATATTTATAACTACATTGACAAAGGACTAATATCTATGTTAAATAAACAAACAAACAATATCTATGTTATATAAATCACTTATATACATTAATGAGAAAAACACAAGAATACAATAGATAAATGAGTAGAGGGTATGAGAACCCAGAACTGACATTAGATAAAAGTGGAAATTGGAAAAAAAAAAAAAAAGGAAATTATAAGGTAAAAATGTTTTGTTTATTTGTTTTAAGATTTTATTTATCTATCTATCTATCTATTTATTTATTTATTTATTTGGCAGAGAGAGAGAGAGCAGAAGTAGGCAGAGTGGCAGGCAGAGGGAGAAGCAGACTCCCCGCTGAGCAGGGAGCCCGATGCGGGGCTCGATCCCAGGACCCTGGGATCATGATCTGAGCTGAAGGCAGACGCTTAACGGACTGAGCCACCCAGGTTCCCCTTTTAAAAATGTTTTTAAATGTTAATAAAATTAAATTAGAAAAAAATTCTAATCCCTAATGATGATTCTGACCAACACACTGTTGCACTACTCTGAGCAGCGTAAACATTTGAGGGAGTTGAAAGCCATTGGGCAGATCTAGACCCTGTAATTCATGCCTGTGTGACCATCTATGGCAAATAAATAGCTTATCTATAGGAAACCGTTTTTCAAAAGGAAAAATATACACTGTATGTACATGATACCATTGTAGCATTGATTAAAAAACCAACACGTCCAATAACAAGAGAATGAGCTATTAAATTATGGCATATTGACAGGATGAAATAGAAGTACAACCCCCTAAAAATAATTGTGAAGATCATAATTCACCAGCTTACTACTCTCATCAGAGAAAAAAATTTGTGGCTTAAAATATCACAGAATAAGTCAATATAAATTTTTATTGTGCTATGATTAAATGATATTAAATGGGTATGCCTAAGAATAATAACTGGAAGAGAAAATAGAAGGCTGAAATAAGTAGCTGTTTCACTGAAGTGCAATGCTGTTTAAACTCCCTTCCTTTCTTCCTCCCCCCCACCCCCACCTGCTTTCTTTCATGTGTTAAATAATATGTTGGTGTGACTTCTCAAAAGCAGGCTTCCATTTGTCCTGATTTCTACACTTAAATTTCTTTTATAACTGGGTATGTTTTTACAGGTCAAGCTAAATTGTTTTTAGGAACAAGCCTAATTATAAATTGATAAATTAAAAAATAAATAAAATGGTGAATAAGAGAAGAAAACTTTGCCTTATGAATTGGCTCTCCACTCCCCACCCCTCATGCGTGGGAACATCCTCTGAGTGCACTGCACTAAAGTAAAGATTTCCTACTGACCTCAGAAAACCTAAAGCCTTATAGAAAGGAGGATAGACAGTTAAACAGATATGTTACAGATAAAATGTGGCTAAAGGCATGAATGTGTTCTTACCACTGTGTTTATTCATGAATGTTTCAATAAACTAGTCCTATGAACACAATTGTGTGAAACCATGTAAAGTAGAGCCATGAACTTACTTGCGAGATGGAGAAGTTGTAAAGAAGAGAGGACATTTAAGTAAGTTTTGTTTACTTAAAAAAATAATAAATTTTTATTCTAACAACATAGTGCATGTATATAGTTTAATATGTCTAATAGTTTGGGGCGGCTGGGTGGTGCAATCCCTTGAGCTTCTGACTCTTGGCTTCAGCTCAGGTAGTGATTTTAGAGTTGTCAGATCGAGGCCCCCGTCGGGTTCTGCGCTCAGCACGGATTCTGCTTAAGACTCTCTCTCCCTCTGCCCCTCCCCACCGTGCTTTCTCTCTCTCTAAATAAATAAATGAATGATAAATCTTAAAAAAAATATATGTCCAGTAGGGTGCCCGGGTGGCTCAGTCGTTAAGCATCTGCCTTCAGCTCAGGTCATGATCCCAGGGTCCTGGGATCGAGCCCGCGTCGGACTCCCTGCTCTGCGGGGAGCCTGCTTCTTCCTCTGCCTCCCTCCCTCTCTCTCTGTCTCTCATGAGTAAATAAATATTATGTTTAAGAAATATATGTCTAGTAGTTTTACACAGGTTTTCATGAAATCAGACAAGCCCTGAGTCCCACTCGTAAGAGACAATGATTGCTAGCACTCTTCAGTTTTAGTTCTGCTACCAATATATTTCTAAATAATATGTTTATGATGATATTTCTTAATTTTTTCCAGGTTAGTGTTGTGTGTTGACTTACATCTATGGAAACATGGATTTGGCTTTCTTATCACATGACCTCCACTGCCCGCCTCCCATCTCACTGCTTGGATGCTGGTTTTGTTGCTGTCTGTCATCGTAGAGACTTTGTTCAGAGGTCTCTGGACCGTGGCAGATGGTTCCTGGATAAAGTTGCCTAGAACAATCTGTATGGAAGGGCTAGACTGGTGGCTTCCCTTTGGGGGAATCAGGCAGGTATCTTGTCATTTTCTGGGCAGCTCACAAATGTCAGTATTTTTATGGTGTCTCTTTTGGGTTGGCCAATTTCCCTAAAGAGGAGTCCTACAGTCTCTTGCTTGGGATGCATAAATCTGGTTGCCAGCTCTCTCAAAGCCAAGTTGGGCAAGCAGCTGGGAGTCTCCCCTTCTTGTTTGGGAGTCTCCCCTTCTAGCTTGGGAATCTCATCTTCTAGTGTGTAGATTTCCCCTTAACCCTTGGCGCCCCTGACATAAGCTGTGCTTGGTCTTTCTAAGCCCAGAGTTCCTCAGGCTTAGCCCCTCTAAGATTAAACCACAGGGCTTCTGGGTGGAGAGGGTATTTACCTGGCTGTGTGGGGAAGGTAAGTAGATCCAGGGTTCAGCAACTTCTTATACATTCAATGAATACTGTTTTCAGCCTCTCCCACCCTGCCTTCCATGGCATCCAATCCCCTGTTTCTTGAGTCCTCTGGGTTCTGCAATGAGATCCACTTTGTTGCTTGGCTCCCCCACCCTGCAGGCCCTCAGCCATTTCTGGTCTGCTAGGTTGGGCACCATACATCTGCTTTCCACATTCCAAAGTTTTGTTGAAATACTTTACCACGTGTCAGCTTCTCTACTCTTTGTCCTTGTGGGTTTATGCATCTTTATAAAAAAATCCTTTTTTAAAAAAGATTTATTTATTTTAATGGGGGTGAAGGGAAGGGAAGAAGGAGAGGGAGAATCTCAAACAGACTCCCCACTGAGCATGGAGCCCAATGCGGGGCTCGATCTCACGACCCCGAGATCATGATCTGAGCTGAAATCAAGAGTCAGACACTTAGCTGACTGAGTCACCCAGGTGCCCCATATTTACAAATCCTTTTTATAGCCTTTTAGTAAGTTTTTATGAGGGAGCAGAGAGATTACATCTTCATTTGGTCCCTTTTAACTTGGAGCCATAAGTTACACTTTGAAGGACGATTTAAGGGTGAAGACATGGGGGCATGAAAAAGGCATTTTTAGGTAAAGGAAAGCAAGGCCACAAACATGCGTTCTGAAAGGGTATGGTATCATGTTTGGGAAATGGGGGTCACAGTTGGCTAGAGTGTAGGGTGTACTGGATGGGGGGTGGGGTGGGCTGAGGCAGGTAGACAAGGCCCCTGTGGTAGACTGGTTGCAAAAATGGCCCAAATTATTTTTCTCCCTCAATGCACAGTCCTTACAATGTGACTTTGCAGCTTCTTCCATTAGGGGGGAGAGTCTAGGCCCCAACCCCAGAATCCGGGTCGGCCTTGTGGTGACTTTGGTCAATAGAATGTGGCAGCAGTGATGATGTACAGTTCACCCTAGGCCACAAGGGGCTTTGCATCTTCCACTCACCATCTTGGAATGTGCCTAGGTGCCGTGAGAACAAAATCCGTTAGCCTGTGGGAGGATGAGAGTCATGTGACCCACCTCACTTCACCCCAGCCAGTCCCCAAAGCAGCCACTCAACTGACTTCTAGCTGACCGCACGGACAAGGGAGCCCAGCTGAGACCAGAAAAAGCACCCAACAGAGACATGTCTAAGGGTCCAACAACTTAGTTGTTCAGAATTCTGAGCTAAATATGGTTGTTCTCAGTGATGATGTTTTGGGGTGGTTTGTGACTCAACTAGAGCTAATTGATGATACGCCCAAGTAGAAATTTGAAGAGGCATCGTGAGGCCAAGGAGAAACTACTGGTTAGAATTACAGGATCAGATTCTAGTTCTTCCTTTGCTACTAACTAGTTCTGTGTCCTTGGGCCAGTCACTTAACCTTAGCCCCGCCATCTAATTAAAGACACTGGAAGGTAGACCACATAAGTGGTTGTCAAGCTTCTTTGCAAAGTAAGCCACCCAAGAGCTTGTTAAAAAGAGCCATTCTGTCCCCAGTCTTATAAGATGGAAAACAACTATAATTTTATTTAGTTCCCTGGTGACTCAGATAAAGCCAGGCCCGCCGGTGTCTCACACACCACTGTACCGTGAGATCGTCAGGGTGTCTTCCAGGCTGAAAATGGTGGTGAGCTGCCCTCCCTTCAGTGGGTTTTGCTGTGGCTTTAGATGCTCGTCCATCAGGGTGCCTAGGTTCCTTCCTCCCACGGGGAGGCGTCTCTCTTTGACCGCCCACCCTCCAGCCCACTCCACTCCCATAGGCTCAGACGGCTGCCTACAGCTCCCCATCTCCCCCCTCAGCAGCTGTCAGTTCAGAGCTCTTCAAGAACTCTTCATTCTTCAGGAATGAATGAATGAATGAATGAATGAATGAGCTGTCTTTATCCCTCAGCCTTAAAGGGGAGCCCCTTCAGCATTCTCAGGTCCTTTGGATTCTCTGATAGACAACGGCAGGTTTCCAGCATTCTTTGACTGGTTTCCAGTGTCTGGTGACTGGTGGCCCAGGCCGTGTCACACCCTGGTCCATCAGCTGTTGTCTTAGGTTCCGTGAATCCATGTTTTAAAAAGACCTCAGTCTCCTGCCCCTTGACATAACTCATTTCCCATCTGGAATGTTCTTCCCACAGGCCCACGTCTCCCAAACTAGGGTGTCTCCTGGGTAACCGTTTTACCATGGATACCAGTGGTTCTAGCTCTCAAATCGAATAACAAGCCTTGGTCTAAGCCTTCCTGTCATTTATTCTCAAATCACATTTCGCATGTGTGGTCGGGGGAGGGGGAAGGAGAAGGAAGACTTTCCATAAACTGCATCCATATTGTATGCTCCCCCCTCCTATCCCAGAAAAAAATAAATAAATAAATGATCTCAGGACATCAGACAAAAGCTGTAAGGCAGATGGCAAAACCAAACCCAGCCTTAGGACAGTGGGTGGGGTTTGCAAGAGGCAGGCCTCCTAGCAGCTTGGGGAGAAGAGACACCCTTTGTCATCCTGGGTGACCCTACAGTCTGACGGCATCTGGTCCTAAATGCTCCCCTTCTTTCTGGATTCCCTTCTGCACCAGGAGCCAGCTCCTCCAGGGGACAGTGATTAGCAAAGCTGAACAATTTGCAGATCGGTTCTACATCTTATTTAGGATTTAAAAACTAGTGGGGGTCAATACTGTTAATTTAACACTTTTTGTTGTAAAGCTAGGGTGATTTATCTGATAACACACATGTGGCATAATGCACTCGGAGGCTCGTAGCAACTCACCGTGTACTCAGCCAGCAGGGCTAAAATATATAACTTGTTAACTTCATTTCTTTGAAATACAATATTCTAGCAATAATCTTGGCTTTTTTTCATACTTGAAAATAAACAACTCCGTTTCTTCATTGTTTGGCCATGAGCTAAGGTTCTGTCTCACTCATGGATCTTTGGATAGATCTTCGCTAGCAATTTGAAGATGAGCCAGCCTTGTTTCAGATCAGATGGCCCCTTTCATGGTCTCTTACATTCGTCTTGGGATGGCCTCCAGATTCCGTGTCACTCATCCTATCACAAGCTCGGTGGCGGTAGGGCCCGCAGGGTCTCAGGGTCCACATGCGGCCCCATGGCATGAGCACTTCCCCGTGTTGGGAGAATTGAGTTCTACATGGGGCTGGACAGTGACTGGGCTGAGTGACCCAAGACCATTCTTTTCACCTCCCTGCCTCTCTCGTTCCTTATTCTATATAAGGGCGCAGCATAAATGGTCCCTAGAGCTCTTTCAACACTGACATCGTGAACACATTTGTGATTACTATTTCAGTCCTTCAGTAGCTGGCGAGGAGAGTAGACTCTGAGTAATCACCCAGAGTTCCTGACTGACTGATGGAATTGGGGCTGGTATCGGGTTCCCTCACCCTCTGATCAGTACTGGGTACCATTTCTTAACTGCAGAGGCAAACACTGAGACCTTTTGTTTCTGATTCAAAAGAATCTCAACACTTAAGAACATTCATCGTTCATACTCCAAATACCAGCATGAGCTTGGGAGTTCATTTTTCTCATCTGATCCTCACTCTACAAGGACATCAGAGCAATGGTTAGCATTTTTGTTTGACAGAAAAGGAAAATCGGGTCTTGCCGCTCTGAGTCACTTGTCCAGAGTCACGTGGCTGGTGATGGTGAAATTGGCTTTGAATTCGGGCTTCGCACTTTTCACTGGAGCCCTGTGAAAAACCCTGCAAAATGAAGGGATCCCAGCCATACACCTTTCTCAGACAAACACAGGGGTCTCTCTGTGCCAGGCTGGGTGCTGGGAACACAGGGTGACCCAGGCATGAGGAGCTTGGGGGCAAGGACGGGAGTAGGATGGATCTGTGCCATGTGAATCAGCTACCTCAAGTTAGGAGTTCGGGCTTTAGGACCATAAATGCATTCTTCACTGGATTTTCTCCTCCATCTTAGTCTCTCCTTTATCCAATACCAAAAGAAAATTAGCTCAGAATGGCACACCTCTGAGTGTGTTCCCCAAGGCAGCACAGTCCAGAGGAAATAAAACACGAGCCACATGTATGATTTAAAGTTTTCCAGCCGCATATTTAAAAAGTACAAAGAGGCAGGTAAAATCAATGATATGTTTTATTGAAGCCCATATAGCCAAAATGTTATCCTTTCAGCATGCAGTCAACACAAAACTTATTGAGACATTTTACATTCTTTTCTGTGAAATAGGGGGCATCTTTTAGCTTTTCCCAGCACGCCTCATTTCGGAGCAGTCACTTTTCCAGTCCTCAGTCGGTGCCTTTGGCTGGGGGCCGCCGTGTTGGATGGTGTGCCCCCCTGGGTCTGCCTCAGGGAACAGACTCCTAAGGCAGCATAGCGGGGCTCTCACCACCTGTCCCCCGCTGTTGGGCGCCCCACTGCAAGGAGTCCTGGACTGCTGCTCTGGTGATGCTCTGGGGGAGAAGCTGCACCATCCCTCCTGTTGCTGGTTGATCAGCCACAGGGAGTCCTTGGCCTCCCTCAGGTTCCAGCCCCCAGCAGGCTCCTTTCCTTACGGTGAAACGTGACCATTGCTTGGGCCTGGCCGGCAGGCGCCCCTCACAGCAAACCCCCTTTGCAGCCCTCATGAATTGCTCTTTCTTTTCCCCGGCACGCAGAAACCATTTCCCTGCCTCCTCTTACCCCCGTGGCAGCACCACATCCCCCAGTGGAGGGAGCTACACAAGGCTCCCTTTGTCTCTCGGCTTGGAGCTTGACAATGTACCTGCTTTCCATAAAAGCCTTACCCTGAAAAGCCACGGTTTTGTCTCTTTTCTTCCTTTCCCATTTTTACAGAACCAAACAATCAAACCTTCACTTTCGCCATTTAACCTTGCAAAATATGAGCAGGTTTCGACTTCGGAGGTGGGTCCGAGAGCTCCCCGGCTCCCTGCCCAGGGTTTGGCTTTCTGAGAGGAGAGCGAGCTAGGAGCTGGGCATCGGTTCTGAAGGCTCCAGAAATCCCTTTATGATGCCTCGTGGTCATTTGGGGACCCTCTGTTATCCTATATTTCTTACTGAGATCTTTTCCTAACCTCGGGGCGGTGGTGGCCTTTAAAGAAACGGGTTTTGGGCACCTGGGTGGCTCAGTTGGTTAAGCGACTGCCTTCGGCTCAGGTCATGATCCTGGAGTCCCGGGATCGAGTCCCACATCGGGCTCCCTGCTCGGCGGGGAGTCTGCTTCGTCCTCTGACCCTATCCCCTCTCATGTGTTCTCTCTCATTCTCTCTGTCTCAAATAAATAAATAAAATCTTAAAAAAAAAAAATAAAGAAACGGGTTTTGATAAAAACTGTGCCGTTTGGGTAATTCAAAGAAAGTCAGGAAGCCCGTGCTTAAGGGGAGAGACACAAATACCGTCCCTGAGGGTGAGAGGCACCAACGTGTGTGCACAAAAAAGTGGAGCCATCCCCCTCCCCCGCCCCGCCCCACCTCAGGGAGCCTGCTCCCCGGGTTCTTGTAACTTGTTTTCTTATTTTAAATCCAGAAACCGTGCGTTTGCTGCACAGCAGGGCAGCTGGAACCCCCTCAAACGGTTGTCTGACGTTGTCCTAGGTGCACCTTACAAAACAATGACACTGAGCACAAGGCAGCCCTATGGAGAACGTGGAACCGGCTGGGCCACTCGGAGGCCTCTTTCAGCGTCTCTGGACACAGGATACTTTTAACTTAGGCGCCTGGAACTTTTACTTTTGGGAGAGAGCCTTGGTGTTATTGAAAGCAGTTTTCCTCTGGAGGAAATAATGTTTTTTTACTCCTTTCCTTCTCCCCGTCCCCATTTGATTGACTCCAGACTCAACACTCTCTAGGACTTCGCTTCAGAGAAACTGCATTTCCATTCAGTGACCACGGATTGAGCATCTACACCTTGCCAACTGCCACCAGTAAGACTAAGTAGGAGAGAGGCAGAGAGACCCAGGAGAGGGTCTACCCTTACAGCCCTCACCAGCGCTGAAGGGGAAACTTTTATTTCCACTCTGTAATCATCATTGCCCTCGGAATCTGTAGATTGGGGGCTGGCAAATGATGGCCTGATGGGTAAGTCTGGCCATTTATCTGTTTGCTTTTTAATAAGATTGTGGTAATATACACTCAACATAAAATCCACCATCTTATCCCTTCCTTCCTTCCTTCCTTCCTTCCTTCCTTCCTTCCTTCCTTCCTTCCTTCCATCCTTCCATCCTTCCTTCCTTCTTACTTTCTTTTGAGAGAGAGACTCTTAAAAGATTCCACATCCAGTGTGGAGCCCAATGTGGGGCTCGATCTCACAACCTGAGATCACTACCTGAGCCGAAATCAAGAGTTGGACACTTAACCGACTGAGCCACCCAGGCACCCCTAATGATTTTTTTTTTTGAGTAGGCTCCACACCCAGCAGGGGAGCCCAATGCGGGGCTTGAACTCATGACACTGAGATCAAGACATGAGCCAAAATCAAGAGGCAGACGCTAATCTACTGAGCCCTCCAGGCGCCCCCATCTTACCCATTTCTAAGTGTACCGTTCAGCAATGTTAAGTACATTCTCAGTATTGTGCAACCAGTCTCCAGAAATCCTTTTATCTTGTAGAACTGACACTCTATACCCACTGAACAACTCCCCGTTTCCCCTCCCCCTGGTTCCTGGCAACCACCATGCTACTTTCTGTTTCTATGAATTTGACTACTCTACGTCCTTGATATAAGTGGAATCATACAGTATTTGTCTTTTTGTGACTAGCCTACTTCACTTAGCATACTGTGCTCAAAGGTTCATCCATGTTGTAGCATGCTCTGAATATGGGTGTACAGATATTTCTTTAAGACGCTGTGTTCTATTCTTTTGGATATACACCCAGAAGTGGGGTTGCCGGATCATATGTTAATTCTATGTGTAATTTTTTGAGGACCTGCCAGACTGTTTTCCAACTGGCTACACCCTTTTACAACCTCACTAACAGTGCTCAAGGCTTACAATTTCTCCACAATTTTGCCAACAATGTGTTTTCTGTATTTTTGATGGGAGCCATCCTAATGAGAGTGAGGTGGTATGTCATTGTGGTTTTGATTTTCATTTCCCTAATGATTAGTGATATTGAGCTTTCATACGCTTATTGGCCATTTGTATATCTTTTTTTTTTTTTTTTTTTTTGTAGCAGTGTCTATTCAAGTCCCTTACCCATTTTTTAATCAAGTTGTGCCAGTAGCCTGGTTTTGGAAATGAAGCTTTATTGGAACTCGCCCATTCATTTGCATCTTGTCTGTGGCTGTTTTCTGAGCTACGACCACGAAGACCATATGGTCCACAAAGTCTAAAATATTTACTATCTGGTGCTTTACAGATAGTTTGCCAGTTTGCCAACCCCAGCTTTAGAGAATTGACAATTGACTATATAAGTGTCCTTCCTCTTGTTGAAAATGAATAGACGGTATACAAAGCAGCTCACACATAATTCCACAAATGATAACTTTCACAAACATCAATATGTGGGGTCACATAAATGTTAAAGAAGAGGAAAATAAGACTTAGGTTTTTGTTCCTAGCCAACTCTTACTCTCATGTCCCTTGGCAGTGGCTTGAAGCTATTTTTACTCTCCTCAGATACCCTTAACCTTAAAACCTTCACTCACTTTTCAGAAATGACCTTGCCTCCCACTTCACAGGAGGGAGAACAATGTAGCAGAGAGATGAGGTTCTTTAAGCTCATTCCCTACCAAATTTAACAGCTTTCGTCCTTGGTTTCTGTCTCAGAGGGACTACTACCTCTACCTAGGCTCACAGTCCCACCTCATCCTACTTTCTCTGAAAGGTCCATCAGGCATCCTCTCTCCTTACATGTTTCGTTTTTCTATTTTCTAGCTCATTCCCCTATGCTTTCAAACAATGCTTACTTCCCTGAATAAATAAATCTATTATCTATCTATCATCTATCTATCTATCTATCTATCTATCTATCTATCTATCTATCTATCGT